TTCAGGCTCATATTTACTCTCATATAAATATCACACAAGAAATGCCTATGAGGAATCACATAGCATACTTCTTCCTAACATAGGAAAAAACAAAGTGAAATCAAATGTTTAAAAATGAAATTATGAGAGATGCCAGCTTTTTTTTTTAGGTTCTCCTTTCTTTAATATTAATCATTATATCATCTATGATGCTCTTTAATGTTACCAGAACATGAACACTGTACAAGGTATGCTGGTACACCTGACCTCAGCTGTGAATTATGATGGTGAGTGGTTGATAGAAATGCATTGTACTTATGAATATTAACAATCCTTTGTATTTCACAGAACGTATCTTACAAGTTCAAAGTGAATAAAAAAAATATTGTATTCGAGGATCACAGAATATCAGTTATCATATAATTACTGGGATCCAGATTCAAAGACATGAGAAGTGGTATTGTCTTCCAACACCAAATGACATAGGGCCAGCACATACAACTGGGATCCTAACACTAAATGTAACCCAAGTACAGTCGGCTACTGAGCACCTGACTGGACATTCTAGACCTCTAAGTATTATTTCTCTTTTTAAAGTGTCCTTTTCCATCCTGGTCCAACAGCTGATTTCCTGATTTTTGTATCAGTCTGAATTGCATTCATGAAATAGTTAACAACTGTATTTACTAGCTATTTCTTGAAATGATCAAAAGTATTTCCATCTTTCTATCTGACAAAATCTTGAATACCTAAGACAGTTTGAAGGAACAAGGATATGGAGATTTTAGTCAAGGTTTCCTCTTCTGATAGACATTATATTGAGCTTTACAAGTAAATTTACCCGAACAAGAGAGTGAAAGTTTCCAGGCTTGCGAGAGAAATGATCAGGACTTCAAATCAATAGTCAAGCCATTCACTTTCTTGTCACTTTATCAAAATCAAGCATTAGTGACTTAAAAGGAACCAAAGCACTAGACTGCACTTAAGTATAAAAAGCATTATTCTTGTGTTCATTTGCTGAAAGCTTTGTTGAGGCTTCCAAACAATCGTTTCCCTTTTTTAGGACATGAGAATACAATGTTGAAGATCTGAGTTGCCAAGATCTACCATTCTTACCCTATCATAACTAATGCCTTGTTCAGGAGACTGTCAAAAACCCCTTACAACACATATAAGATACATCCACTGACACAATACATACATACATCTTGGTTAGAGGTATTAACAAAGGAAATCCTGGTTGGTTTCCTACTATACCAGTAGGTTCAGACATCGGCTACCTCAAACATAAAGAGGCATTAATCAAACAAAACAAATTAATGTAGTTCAAGTTTAATTAAAAATTGGATTATTCAAATCTTTGAAGTTTATTCATCAGAAATAGACATTTATTTAGATGAATAAAAATAAAATGGGAGCAACATCAACACTGCCTTTAATTCTATCTAAATCTAATTTCCTTAAAAAAAAAAAAAAATTAAAAAATCGGCCTCAACTTTGAAGAACAATTTTCCATTTCTGAAACTCAATCAATGCCTTTCCTGCTTGAACGAAATGCAGTGACATGACATCTGCTATTAAAGGAAGTACCGACAAAAATAAGGATTAATATAAAATAACAGAAAATATCTAAAAACAAAAACAAATAAAGGTATAATAATAATAATAATAATAATAATAATAATAAAAATAATCAAATGAAAATAAAAAACATAGTTGTCAGTGACATACTCTCGGTTGATAAGAGATGCAAAAAATGCTGGAACATGTTTACCTAATAGAAATGAGACCTGATTGCAAAAGCTTCTGAATCTTGGCTGCAACATCAGGATTCTTCAGGTGGCTGCAAAGAAAGCAAAGTTATTAGTCAGTGAGAGAACACGAGTCTTAACTGCTACAATCTAGATAATGTGACCATCACATCATGGAAAAAGTTGGCTTGAGGGGCAGGTGACGTGAACATGATGGTTTGGAAAAAAATTTGGCGAGGGGGCTGAGGGGAACTTACCATCATGAGAATTTTGGCTGAAGGCCAGGGTGACGGAAATTAGTTGCCACAAGTGCACAGAGCTCTTGGGAGGTGATCAGACTCAGTGGGCATTTAGGAAGGTGCTCTTGCATTAACTCCATTGATAAATGAGTAGTGAATATATAAAACATTTGTGAGCCATGACTAGAGAGATGATGAGAGAAATAAAAAGAGAAAGAGAAAATGAGACCTGAGAGAGAGAGAGAGAGAGAGAGAGAGAGAGAGAGAGAGAGAGAGAGAGAGAGAGAGAGAGAGAGAGAGAGAGAGAGAAAGAGAGAAAGAGAGAAAGAGAGAAAGAGAAAGAAAGGGAGAGAGAGAAAGAAAGAAAGAAAGAAAGAAAGTGAGAGAGAGAAAGAGAGAGAGAGAAAGAGAAAGAGAGAAAGAGAAAGAGAGAAAGAGAGAGAGAGAAAGAGAGAGAGAGAAAGAGAGAGAGAGAAAGAGAGAGAAAGAGAGAGAGAAAGAGAGAGAGAAACTTGGGAAACTTACTCTTGTAGTGCTCTTGGGTCGCTCTGCATTTGTTCGAGAATCATGCGCATGGCAGGGTCTTTCAGAATCTGTTGAACTTCAGGGTCTGCCATCGCTCTTTTCCGCACCTATGAATAAGTATAAGAATTTTAAAGATAAAGTATATGTATGCAATATGATATACAAACACAGTCAAAGTATTTAAAAACTTTAGAACAACTCTTTCATTACATTTCCTTTACAATCTAAAATGATATATGATAATGATACTTTGTTAATCTGTTACTGCCGGGCCACGTGTATAGTCATCATAACAAACCATTTGATCTGCCGGGTAGGGCTATATGGGCAATGTGCTAGAGCGTGTCATGAAGGAAGTTCTACTACACGTAGCGGACTCCTGCTATCAACAGCAAGATGGCTGCTAGAAATCACCAGTCTATGATGCTGAGAGATTTCTAATACCATCATCTAAGGATTAACAATGAAAAATGCATCTTCCTAAACTCGTACAAACAGAATTCTTTCTTTGACAATAAAATA